TCTTTTCAAGCCGAATAGGAGACTCACCAATACCTGGATCTGGAGCCTATGCTGATGATACTGCAGGAGCAGCTGCAGCCACTGGAGATGGTGATATATTGATGCGCTTCCTACCGAGGTGTGGGTTCCTGTGTTTGGGAATATTAGAGACCTTGAGAGAATACATTTTCTTTGTTAAGATGGAAAGTATTTTTTGGGGGAGGAGGGGTGGCTTGTACTTCCAGTTTGTGTGTACGGGAGCTTTTTAGAAGCTGTGTCCATAAAGACTTTACCTATCATTTTGATGATGATAATCATTTAAATTAAGCAAACATAGTTCTTCTGAATTGATGAGAATACTTAAGATCTGTTTAAATAATTTATATAAGTCACTGAGCAGTGGAACTGTAATAATTGAAGGTAAAAGTAGGAGATGGAGCCATTTATAGTTATTTAAAGATGATCTTTACAATTGGATATTTTGTGCATGCATATTATTTTCCCCTTTGATGGTTGATCCTTCTTTCATTTGGATATAACCTCTATACTTTATGACTTCTAGCTTTAATAACTTAAATGACAGTTATTCAGCCAAAACAAAAAATAATGGTCCTTCTTATCTGATGCTAATGAGTGGATTATTTGAAAAGATAGACATTGTATCAAACTTCACTTGCTTTGATATCAATGTTTTAGTAATAGCTGCTGACTCCTGTTCGTTAATATATTCTATCAAATATGACAGTTTGGGTATTTTTATATTTCTAACTTGAGGTAGCTCGATTTAGAATTAGGATTTACTCCATGACAATAAAATTTTACCTCTGTTAAATTAGCTACCAAGCTGTAGAATATATGAGAAGAGGAGTAGATCCAACCATAGCTTGCCAAAAAGTGATTTCAAGAATTCAGAAGTATTTTCCAAATTTCTTTGGGGCTGTTATATGTGCCAACATGACTGGAAGTTATGGTAAGTTATATTTGGAATTTGCATATGCTTGAACTTATAAATGTTAATCAAAATGTACATTTTAAAATAGTGTATTTTACTACTATATAATAGAAAGGGGTTCGTATGTAGAGTTGGCACTGGGTAAATATTAATTGATTTGCATTAATCAATTGTGAATCTTTTGAGACCCACAAAGTGTTAAAAATATACCCAAAAATGCTCCTTTGGTGCTGATAGTTATGATCTATTCTTTGGCTGTTAGAGGTTCTCTTTCATAGCTTTCCTAGTATAGTTTAGCTTCAGTTACAGAACATGTTGAGATGGGCTAATCTATTTAAATATTTTTTTGTAACTACAAGAAGATAGCAAGAAATTGTCTTCTGTACTTTTTATCAATTTGTGATTTAAATGTCTCAGCCATTTAGATCTTGTGGCCCCAAGATAAAAAATGTGTTACTGAGGAGTAAAAACTAAAAGAAGTTAGAATTATTTTCACACTGTGTTTTAGGTCTGTCCTTTGCTTCATTTACTTTCTCTGTGAGCCTGTCAGGATTTCAAAGCATTTCAAGATCAACCACTGCTGGCTCTCATTAGTGAATTTTCAGATGCAGAACATATACAGCTTACTGATCAATATGACTTATTAGGTTAGACTGCTTATTACTGTTCTTTGATCTTTTATTTCCCACAATTCTGTGTTTGAAAAACTTGTTTGAGGAATTTCTTACTCTTTTCTAAGAACTAAGATAGAAAGTCAATATGAGTGATGGGGAGGAATAGGCTCTATGTACAAAATAATTCAGTTTTATTGATTCTCAAGAAATCAACCTTAGAAGGTTCAAAGTTGGATTTAATAGGATATAAAAATGATAATTATTAAATTATAGATGGCGAGTTCCTTATATTTAAAATAATGACAACAGGAGGAGAACCCACTAGGTGTTTGAACAGAAGAAATCCACTGTTGACACAGGTGGGGCAGCACTGAAATGAACTTGTTAGAGCATCTTGACAAAGAAATAACTGTTCTCTCATTCTATTTAGAAAGGAAAAGGGTAAGGAACATGAGGGCATGGAAGGGGAAAGGGGTATATAAATGAATGTGGGTGTTGTTGTTAGACCTAGGAAAAAAAAAGTTTGTTTTTTTTTTTTTAATAAAAATAAATAAGAAAATAATGGCTACAACCACAGCATATATAGAGAGTAAAACTTGTTAGTCATTTTTCTGCGATTCCCAGACGTAGCTGCTCATGACGTCTTTTTTTCCTCTTATATGCACTGTTGCTCACTACTAATGAGAACAATGCTAGTGTACTTCTCTGTGGCTTAGATGGACAGAAGGTATAATACCCAACATTTAGGCAAATAAACAACATCAAAATAAATATGCACCAAAAGGAGTCCTGGTGATACAGAGCTAAGCACTTGACTTGACCAGAAGGTCAGCAGTTTGAACCCACCAGCAGCTCTCTGGGAGAAACATGAGGCACTCTGCTTCCTCTGTAAAGATTTACAACCTTGGAAACTCTATGGGGCAGTTCTAATCTGCCCTGTAGGGCCACTGTGCATCAGAATCAAATTAGTAGCAATGAGTGTGTGTGTGTGTGTGTGTGTGTATTAACCAAACAATTTTCTCTTTTCTTGGCCCCAGGTGCTGCTTGCAATAAACTTCCAACATTTACTCAGTTTAGTTTCATGGTTTATAATTCTCTAAAAAATCAACCAACTGAGGAAAAAGTAGACTGCATCTAATCCATCTTTTCTGTCAGTGTCTGTATTTAAAGAAGAAGGAAACAAAGGCTGAAAACATTACTTATCATATAGTATGCCTCATGTATTCTGAATTCTTTGTGTAATACAAGCACAAAAATAAATTTATGCCAAAGTGACACTCTCACTTGACATATCTGAAATTTATTATCTGTTTTTACTTAAAGTATTGGTGGCCCCTAAAAAACTGTGAGTTTGTATTGCCCCTAAAAAATTACGAGTTTGTATGTGTATTTTGTACATATTTAAATTTTAAGCGATACTTAGATTTCTGAATGATGTTTGAAGAAATTGTTACTTATGGTGATTTTTTTCCATAGTGATATATTAAAGCCAAAAGAAATCAATGTATACTTGAAATAGAGATCCAAGTTTTTTAAACACAAAGAAAACAGTAACAGTTACAGCATGATGAGAACTGATTTAATTTCAGTCTGTTACAGTGATACATCTTTCATCACTGATTATTAGTTTTTCACAATGATCCTAATAATTTGAAGAGGGAAGAATGCTGCTAATATAGATGCTTTTGGGTTTGCATGTAATGTTGATCCTCTTTATTTGCAGATTCTGGATTTGTGAATTTTTCTACTCACTAAAATTCGTGTGTGACCCCCAAAATTATCATTTGCGTCACTTTCATAGTCATTTTTGGACATGTACATGTGCAGCGTAGCAAAAAATTTGCGTTGCCCAATGAACATGTTCCCAGCTGAAGTGGAGGCAGACAGTGCTCTGCTTTCTTGTTTCAGCCGCCATACAGTAAACAAGTATCCTTTGTACAGTCTATTTAGTGCCACATTTTCATGTTTTGAAAATAATTTTGATATTTAAAATGGCCTCAGTGTAGTGCTGAAGTACTGTGTAGCATTCTAAGTGCAAGAATAATGTATGTTACAGAGAAAATATGTGCGTTCAGGCATGAGTTACAGTGCTGTTGGCTGTAAGTTCAATGCCAGTCAACAATTTGGTAACATCCAGGGAAAGCAAAAGGAAATTCTCTGGTCTGTAAATGAGGCTGTCCCACAGAGTGCTAAAGTAACATTTAGAGTTCACAGTGAATCTATAGAAAAAATGAAAAAGTGGTTAAGTTGTGGATTCATGAAATGGAAGCTGATAAAAATAGTGTAGTTGACAGCATATGAGTCTGAAAGCCAAAATGGCCAGTAAAATTTTAAACTTTTCTTAGCTAGTGCTGGCTCACTCACACATTTTAAATGTGATGTAGTGTGAAAAATGTTGAACTTGAAGGTGAAGCAGGTTCTGCAGATCAAAGACTGCAGAAGAACTTTGAAAATACCTTCTAGTGTACAAGAGCCAAACTTGTCAACCTTGGGGCTTCTCAGCCTCAGCAGCCAGCAGCTGTCTGGGTGAAGAAATGTCTCTAGTTCCAGTGGGCCGGGAGCAGGAGGCAGAGCTGGACCCCTAGGTTGAGGGGCTTTCACCCAGCCCCTACAGCCTGGCACTTTGAACTTGGACTTAAAGCCTCCAAATTTTAAGAATAAACTCCTGTTACGGCCATTCCATTTGTGGTATATTCCTGTTAGAGCAGTGCCAGGTAACCAGAACACACTCCAACCAACATTAACATAAACCATACCTTTGTTGGAGTTCCCCAGTGTTATGGGGAACTGTGCTGTCAAGTTAAGCCTCTTGATTCTGGCTTGTCCCATGAAAACCGAGATGTTGGTGGAACTTATTCTGTAGAAGAAAAAGACATCAAAGAGGGTAGCACCTCAAAAGTTTGGCTCTTGTGACTTGTTGATAAGTATTGGAGATCTCCCTTCCCAAACAAGTTTGAAAAACTGTCAGCTTTGTCTGCTTGGCTTTTCACTTCAAATCTTTGTGTTTTGGCATAAAGGTGGCAGTATAGTTTAGGCACTTGCATTTGAGGCTGTATTTATGAATAGGGCCACACTCTTCCATGTCACTGAAATACTTCCCATGGCAGAATTCTATTCTGGTATTTTGGACACTTTGAGAAGGACAATTCTTGGAATCTTAGGCTGACTTTCCTTGGGGATAGTCTCTAGCTTAAGGCATGCTTGGACCTTGCATGTAGCCATGTTCAGCAGCCTAACATGCTCTGCAGACCTTGGGACTTACAATGGACTTATTTGCCGTGTGGTTTGGAAACATCGGGACTGTGCCATTTTATTTGTCAACTTTGGGCTTGTCAGCCTCAGCAGCTAACAGCTGTCTGAAGAAATGCCTCTAGCTCAAGTGGGCTGGGAGCAGGAAGCAGAACTGGACCCCAAGGTTGAGGGGCTTTCACCTAGAGCCTGGCACTTTGAACTTGGACTTACAGCCTCCAAACTGTAAGAGAATAAACTCCTCTTTGTTAAGGCAATCCCATTTATGGTATGTTCTTGTCAGAGTAGCATTAGGTAACCAGAACACGTAATGAAGTGTCAAAGTAGGTAAGACACTAATAGGCATTGGTTGGAATAGCACTTCTTAAAGAAAAGCAGAGTATGATCAGCTTCAGTAGGAGCATCGAATCCCCATAGCCAGTAGATCATACTACAGCCAACACTGGATGGTGGGATGCACAAACCCCTCTTGTGCTGCAGGCAAAGGACCATGTCCCTTCTCATTGGGGGTTAGACAGAGTGGTCGGGCTGGTCAGGTGTCATGTGAAACACACACATAAGCAGAACAATGTGTGAAGCTGAGAAATACCACCTAACAAGGCAGAATGCCCAGTACAAACTATGTTATCTTCATATAAGATGTTCCAGGCTAGAGGCCCTGAGTGGGCGGCCCAGAGGAGGGGCAGGGAGTTGTGTGAGGGTTGCTTTACCAAGAATGTGTTTTATAAAACTTAGTGTTTTGTCTTTGTATAATTTTATTTTCAGGAATTTTTATATTTGTATATGGAAAATATAACCTGATGTTTACAGGAAATGAATGATTTATTTGCTCTAGGAACAATGGTTTGCTATTCACTAGTTTAGTGTTTCCTGTGACTTCATTGAACATGCTGTTGTGTATGCACTTGAGTTGATTCTGACTCATAGTGACCCTGTTTGACAGAGTAGAACTGCCCCATAGAATTTCCTACACTGTGATATTTTTAAATACAAATTTTATTGTGATTTGGGTGAAAATTTACAGATCAAATTTATTTTCCATGTAGCAGTTCACATACACTTTGTCTCGTGACGTTGACTGCAATTTCCCACAATGCCACAGTTCTCTTCCCACTTCCTCTCCATAGTTCCAGTGCTTACACGGTCTTTCTATTCTCCTAGGATTTCTCAAGGGGTGAACATTGACCTAACGTAAATGTTCAGCTCATAGGGCTGTCTTTCATTTGGTTGGAAGCCATAAGAATGGGTTCAATTCCAGACCTGAAGGGCAGCTGGGAGCCATAATCTGAAGGGTTCCACCAGCATTTTTTTTAAATTATTTTGAGTTTTGTTCCACATTGTTCTTCCATTCTATCCCAGGATCTCCTACATAGATCTGCCTCCAAGTGGTTGACAGCAGTAGCCGGATACTGTCTAGTTCTTCTGGTCTCATAGCCATATAAGCTGAGGATCGCATGGTGTACCAGTCCCTTGGACTAATTGTTTCCATCTGTCTTTGGTTTTTCTCATCCTTCTTTGCTCTGGATGAGGAGAGTCCCATGGTTGTATCTAGATGGCTGCTTGCAAGCTTTTAAGATCCCAGTCACTACTCACCAAAGTAGCATGTGGAACAATGTTTTTGTGTAGTATGTTATGACAATTGAGCTTGGTGTTCCCTCTGACCATGGTCCTTAGCTCACAGGTCCAACTACTTGCTCCCTCTGGGTAGCTGGCCGTGACCAAGAAGTGACTACAACCTTGTCCCTTGTCAGCTCTACTGTATACCTGGACATTCTTACAGAACATACAACTACACTTGTAGAAATATCATCTGCCGACCCTATGCATGGTCATGGGCACCTCCTCCCTGCACAGACATCCCGGATCATTCAGCCTGTCAACCCATCTATCCATCTGCAGATCAATGTTTCCCATCACTGACAATGCAGTACTGTATGTGCAAAAGAGTTCATCTTTGTTGTCTGTACCTCACATGCACCTCTTCATGTCTTTCTCTTCCTCAATGCCACTGTGTTGATCACTCACTTTTGGTGCATTGCACTTCCCTTCACCCAAATTCACTTGTTTCTATCTATCTAGCAGTGTTCCCTCCTCTCCCCTCCCACTCCTGCTAACCAACAAAGAAATTTTCTTCCATATATAAACCTTTCCTTGACTTTTTACAATAACTGACTAATAAAATATTTGTCCTTCTGTAATTGACTTATCTCACTCAGCATAATATCCTCCAACTTCATCCACGTTATGTGGTGTTTTGCAGATTGTACATTATTCTTCAGGGCTGCATAGCATTCCATTGTGTGTATGTACCATAGTTCGGTTATCCATACTTCTGTTGATGGGCATCTAGGTTGTTTCCATCTCTTTGCTATTGTAAATAGTGCTGTGATGAACATGGGTGTGCCTATGTCTGTTCTTGTCCTGCCTCTCATTTCTTTTGAATATATACCTAGTAATGAACTTGCTGAGTCAAATGGTATTTCTAATTCCATCTTTTTAAGGAATTACCATACAGCTTCCCACAGTGGTTGTATCATTTTAGAGTACCACTAACAGTGTATAAGAGGCTTGATCTCTCTACATCCTTGGCAGCATTTGTTATTTTCTGTCTCGTTGAACATTGCTAGTAGTGCTGGGGCAAGATAGTATCTCATTGTTGTTTTGATTTGCATCTCTCTAGTGGTTAATGAGGGAGCTCTGGTAGCATAGTGGCTAAGGCACTTGACTGCTAACCAGAAGGCTGGCGCTTCAAACCCACCAGCCACTCCTCAGAAGGAAGATGAAGCAATCACTTCCGTAGTGATACTGCCTCAAAAACCCAAGGAGGGGTCGCTATGAGTTGGGTCCGACTTGATGGCAAACAACAACAACAACAGTGGTTAATGATTG